TATGTGTGTGTGTGTGTGTATGTGTATGTGTGTGTGTGTATGTGTGTGTGTGTATGAGTGTGTGTGTGTGTGTGTGTGTGTGTTTGTGTGTGCGCTTGTTGCCTATGAATCGTACCCTTGCCTGCTGGGCAGGAGGAAGCTGGTCTTGGTCAATGATGAGCTGTGATCACCAGGGTAACCATTCTGGTTTCCATGATTTCTCGATGTTTAGCTCGTTTGATAAAATGGGAATCTGAATGTCAATCAGTTGGTGCATTTGAAAGGCAATTAACAAGCTACAAATGTCTTTACTTGGTAACTAGCTGCTATCCAGAAAGAAATTGGCCTCTGCCACTCAGCAAAAGCGTGAAAGATGGTGAAAGATACTTCAAAAGTTGAGATAGGCCTGACTGGCTTTCTCATCAAATTCAGCATCAAATCCCATCAATGGCCCATATCACTCCGGCCCTATCGGATTCTGCTTCTTGTTCGAGAATGTTGGTGTTTTACTTTTGCTGTGAAAATTAACCTTTTATTCTGTTTTATTTTGATTCTTTTACAATGACTCATAAAGGCAATGGAAGAAATAAAACTCAAAGCACAATGTCATTTATTTTTTGAAAATATGTGTGAATGTTTCTGTGTCACTCGACAGACACAGCATTTTCAAATGAATGGTGTTTGCTTTAACATGTTGTTATGAATTGAATTACAGCAGATAATGAGGGCAAATGGAGTTCTGACATTTATTGCCATTTAGGACTGGGGTATAAAAGTAGGGAAGGGTTGTTGCAATTGGAGAAGGCATTGGAGACTGAATCTAGATTGTTGCATTAAGTTTTAGTCCACTTACTTGAGGAGAGGTACAATTGCTTTGAAGGCAGTTCACAGAAATTAATCTAGAGTTCGCCAAATTAACTCAAGAGAGGAAAGGTTGTCTTATGAGGACAGATTGAATAGTTCATAGGTATATTCACGAGAGTTTAGAAGACTGAGAGGAAATCTTATTAAGGTATGAAAGTTGCCAAAGAGGCTTTACAATATAGACATAGAGAGCATGTTTCCTCATGTGGAGCAATCTCGAACAAGATGTCATAGTTTTAGGCTAAGGGGAGGAAAATTTAAAACACAGATGAGGAATTGCTTCTCTCAAAAGATTGTGAATCTTTGGAATTTACTACTGTGGACACAGCTGGAACACTAACTAAATTTAAAGGAGGAGATAGACAGATTCTTAATTGGTATTGGGCTAAAGGCTTATGGAGAGTGAACAGGAAAGTGGAGTTGGGGCTGAGATGAGATCAGCCATGTATTAAATGGTGGAACAGGCTCGAGGGGCTGAATGGCCTACTCCTGCTGCGAGTTCTTACATTCTTATGTTTGTTTGGTCTATCCAACTGTGAAAAGCAGACTTTCATTAAGGTCATGGAATGATCTGAGAATCTCTATTTCTGGATAACAGAACGCATCATTAATTGGCATTTCTGAGCTTCTGATCAGTTCCAAGGAGTCAGCTTTGAAGTGACTCTGATTGTTTATTTAGTTCAGTGACTCTGAAACGTGTGAAAAGAACAGGGAGTTTCTGTTGTTGTGAGGATAATGATTTGTTGACAACTTTATTTGCAATAAAATGTGTTTCTGAGATCTCGTATTGAAGCATTTGTGGCATACGTTCAGAGATAGTAGGAACTGCAGATGCTGGAGAATCTGAGATAACAAGGTGCAGAGCTGGATGAACACAGCAGGCCAAGCAGCATCAGAGGAGCAGGAAGGCTGACGTTTCGGGCCTAGACCTGTTTTATCATATCTCCATCTCCCTCATCAATCGAGGTTGGTACCCTACCATATTATGTATACAGTGCAGCAACTCACCAAGCCTCCTATAACATCATCTCCCCAAACCTGTGACTTCTATCACTCAGAAGGACAAGGGCAGCAGATGCATGGGAACGCTACCACTGGCAAGTTCTTGATTTGGAATAATATCACCATTCCTTCAATGTCTATGGATCAAAATCCTGAAACTCTCTTAACGTTACCTTCTCAGGGCAATTAGAATTGGACAGCAAATGCCATTGAAAAACAAACCTTCACTTGGGCAAAACAAAACAACTGTTTAACCTAAGAATGTCAAGCTTGGCTTCTCAATGACTGGAATCACCTTGTCTAGCTTTTCCTAGAGAGATTCTGGAAGGTCATGAAGGTCATGTAAGATTTAGGAATCGGTGGTGACAGATCCCTCAGAAAGACAGTCAACTACATGTATGTAATTCGACACTGGTTTATTAAGAAGCAAGAATTTAAATATGGTGCATTAATTAATTAGAGAAAAGGTATGCAGACTGTTTAATGCTTCTGGAGATTGTACAAATGGATACAGCTAGTCAATGTGGATTGAGCTGATGGGGGTAACAGTTTTTCACCATTTGCTGACTGCAGTCACTTTCTTTAATTTTTCTTCTTGAGAATGGTTTTGTCCCGTGCCCCTAGGTGCACCTCTTTCTGGTGGCTTGTAGTTTACTTTTGTATCCACCACCTGTTTGAATCCTTCTATCAAATGAAAATAGTCCCCAAGATGTAAGGATGATCTCTCTGTCCATCTCCCACTCAAGGTCCTTTCTAAACACTTGCAGGGATAAGTGGGTGTGCAGGGCACCTTGTGTCAGTTCAGGAAGATAGCGACTAAACTACTGCAAGTGCTATTTTTGTGATGCTGTCTAGAGGTATCTCTACCTTTTGTGGTTTGCTAACTACTAGCAATGGTTTATACCTTTGCAGAGAGAGAACGTCAATGCTATAGCAGCTAATTTTTGAAGAGTCTCGCAATAGGTATTCTGGAGAACACTAATTTATTGACCGTCCTATTTTCTTACATGCACAAATGTTACATGGAGACTCTTGTGTCTAAGAAGTGGCTAATAAGCTGTTTACATTTTTAAATTGCAGACTCACCTGCCCCACAGGGAATTCTGTGCTCTGCAGTTTGTTGTGGGGAACAATCATGGATGTTGGCAGATCCTCAACAGATTCAACTATTTTATCACAGTCCCACCATATAATCTCATGTTCAAATGCTCCATACGCATTTGTGAAAGCTATAGAGTTACAAAAGCAGAAATTGCTGGAGAAACTCAGCAGGTCTGGCAGCATCGGTGAACAGAAAACAGAGTTAACACCTCGAGTCCAGTGACTGATCATCAGAACGAAGTTGCATATGTATGTTTAAAATGGTAATTCTTTTTTATATATTTATTAAGATGAGAAATTAAGATGTAAAACAAAGTAGCATTTTTGTTGAGTACGCACTCTGATTTGATGTCATACTTTTTGAGGTCAAAATCATTGGCTAAAATCAGACTAGAATTCCTATTATCTCCCCCAGTCCCGGTCAGGCCATTATTTACTGCTGTGGCTTAAACTTTCTCAACACTGAACATTGGTGTGTCTTTCCTGAGGGACTATTGGCTTTTTAGATTTAATTAGAATGATGAATATTTTTATCCAGTGGATTTGGGCCCACAGAAATTAGGCTTTCATTTCATGTCCCAACAAATCAAACTATGATTTTAAAATCTTAGTCTAACTCACCGTGGCATTAACTATCTACGGTAGCATTTCTGCACAGCCTTCAAAGCACCTTTATGGAAAATAAACCTGTGCATGATGAAAGACCTTGAAGATGACAGCAAAGTCAAAATGGATTGATCCAGATGTAAAAGGATGGCACAGTGGTTAGCATTGCTGCATCACAGGGACCTGGGTTCAATTCTAGCCTCGGGCGACTATCTGTGTGGAGTTTGCACGTTCTCACCATGTCAGTGTGGGTTTCCTCTGGGTGCTCCTATTTCCTCCCACAGTCCAAAGGTGTGCAGGTTAGGTGGCTTGGCCATGCTAAATTGTCCATAGTGCGTAGGTTATGTGGATTAGCCATGGGGAATGTACGATTACAAGCATGGGGTATATCTGGGTGGGATGCTCTTCGGAATGGACCGAATGGCCTGTTTCCACACTGGGCGGATTCTATGACTGATTTATGTCAGTGTGACACTGGCCAAATCCACTTTTCTGCTATTTTTTTTTGCTGATTTCAATAGAGTGACATCTATTGGTCTCTTTTCATTGATGAAGCCAGTTAGATTAATTATTTGCTGAAATAATTAAGCTACTATGGATTTGTGCTCACATTACCAATGAGTGCCTATTCCTCCAACAGTATTCTGGCTATTTCTTTTCAGAACTTGGTGTTTTTGGTTTTTATTTTCCCAGGTTTATGGACCCTTCTTACTTTCTATAGGAATTGTGCATGGCCATTCTGTCCTAAGGTAAATGCTATAAAACAACAATCTCAGTGTTGAAGTGCAACCTGGGAACAATATTTTTCAGGAATTTGACTAAAAAGATGAATCAAATACAAAGGTTGGTTAAGCAACTGGAATAATTATTTTGCACAAAAAAATAGAAGGTACATTAGTATCATCAATTATTCTGAATATAAAACCAAATCCTGTGCTTCCAAATCAGTCAGCAAATCAACAAAGAGAATTTAGAAGGTTGGATGATTACTTCTGAATGAACAATAAAAATACTGGTGTGCATTATAGGAATGATGGATTTTGGCATTTACATTAAGAGGTTTCGTTGTCAGCGGTGTAAATAAATTTCACATTAGAATAACATATCCCTCTTAAAATTGTAAAAAAAACTGTTGACAGGTCTAAGCATTATCCACATTGACATTGTCGTATGGTTTCCCAATGATCGAATAGTTTAAACATTGACACGGGTGATGTACACTGACAAAAGGGATAGTTCAGTCTAATCTTGCTGCTTATTCAGTGTACATGTGAATTAAAGTGTTTACAGTGAGCACCTCCCAGGCATCAGAGTTGCATGGAAGTCAATAAAAACTGCTTTAACATTGGTCCTCTCCTAACACTTCCGGGATTTCACTCAAGTCCAATGGATCTGGCACAAGTGATTTAGTTGTGCTCGTGGCAGGATCTGCAAAGACTTCAACTGAACTGGATATGGACTGAATCGATCTTTCTCTAAAATAGTTGATAGCCTCCCGATCAATGAACATCTGCTCTTCTCTGAGGCTTTGCTCGAACAGTTTCCTTTTGTGTCGAAACTCGATGACTGTTCTCGTGTATGAGTTCAGCGTGGTGACAGAGGCTGCCATGCAACAAGTAAATGATCCCCATGCGAGACTGCAGAGAGAAAAAAAAGACCAAGAGAGAGGGCACATTTAATATGTTTTACTCTTAAGCAACCGTTCATGATTTTGTCAGGTCATTTGAATAAGTTCTGGGGAAGGAAACACTTTGCTTCTCTGTTCAGTGTCGATCAATGACATCAGATACAGGTTGCCGAAACTTTTACCATTTTCCAGGAAAATTCATGTGCTGTTGTACTATCATAGAGTTGTACAGCATGGAAATAGACCTTTCAGTCCAACTCGTCCATGCTGACCAGATATCCTGCATTAATCTACTCCTACTCGCTAACATTTGGCTCATATCCCTCCAATCCTTTCCTATTCATGTACCCATCCACATGCCTTTTAAATGTTGTAAATGTACCAGCCTCCACCACTTCCTCTTCCAGCTCATTCCATACACGCACCACCCTCTGCGTGAAATAGTTGCCCCCTAAGTTCCTTTTAAATCTTCCCCCTCTCACCTTAAACCTATGCCGTCTAGTTTTGGACTTGCCTATCCTGGGGAAAAGAGCTTGACTATTTGTCCTATCCATGCCCCTCACAATTTTATAAAGCTCCATAAGGTCACCCCTCAGCCTGTAATGCTCCAGGGAAAATACCTGTAGCCTATTCAGCCTTTCCCTAAGACTCATCTCTCCAACCCTGGCTACATCATTATAACTCTTTTCTGTACACTTAAAAGTTTTGCAACATCCTTCCTATAGCAGGGAGACCAGAATTGAACGCAGTATTACAAAAGTGGCCTAACCAATGTCCTGTACAGCCACAACATGATATCCCCACTCCTATACTCAATGCACTGACTTAAATGGTTATTTCTCTTTTGGACAACCATGGTCCCTACTTTGCTTTGGATTGACGTGCTGGAATTAACATCAGCTTGCCTAGATGCGTCAACCTGATTGTAATACAACTTTACTGACACTTGTAAACACCACCTTTGATTTTTGGACTGTGAATTTAACATAGGCAAAGATGCTGCTTTAAATCAAGAGACAGTGGAAGAAAAACCGAAAGAACTGCGGATGCTATAAATCAGGAACAAAAACAAAGTTGCTGGAAAAGCTCAGCAGGTCTGGCAGATTCTGTGAAGGAGAAAACAGAGTTAACTTTTCGGGTCTGGTGACCCTTCCTCAGACTGAGGAAGAACTGTTCTGAGGAAAGGTCACCGGACCCGAAACGTTAACTCTGTCTTTTCCTTCACAGATGCTGCCAGACCTGCTGAGCTTTTCCAGCAACTTTGTTTTTGAGACTGTGGAAGAAGATGGTGCAGTTTTAGAAAAAATGAGTTACTGGACCTCATTGCATGCTGTATCTACAAGGTGAGCTGTTCAAACAGTGGGAAAGGAGGCTAGGACTAATCTCTGTGGGTGTGTCCAGGGCTAGTTTTGCTATTTTGATCTTTGCAACCAAGGACTGGTTGTGTGTGTTGAAGAGTACTCAGCATAGTAACAATTTTCTGATTGGTTCTTGGGTAAGTGACTCCTGCTTTGTGTTTGAACAATAGAGCAGGAACATCCATCCCATGAAGGAGAAATCTCTTACCATGCACAGAATCATAGAATCCCTACAGCGTGGAAACAGGCCATTCAGCATATACCGACCCTCCAAAGAGCATCCAGACCCTACCCCAATACCCTACCCCTGTAACCTTGCATTTCCCATGGCTAATCCACCTAACCTGTACATCCCTGGACACCATGGGACAATTTAGTATGGCCAATCCACCTAACCAGCATATCTCTGCACTGTGGGAGGAGACCAGAGCACACCCACACAGGGAGAATGTGCAAACTCCACACAGACAGTTGCCCGAGGCTGGCGCTGTGAGGCAGCAGTGCTAACCACTGAGCCACCGTGCCACCCCATTCTTTGAGTGGACAGGTAAAAGAAAATTCCAAGCAGCTAGCTTCTTTTTTTTCTTTATTCATTAACGGGATAAGGGTGTCATTGGCTAGGCAGCATTTATTGCCCATCCCTAATTGCCCAGAGGGCAGTTCAGGGTCAACCACATTGCTATGGGTCTGGAGTCACATGTAGGCCAGACCAGGTAAGGATGGCAGTTTCCTTCCCTAAAGGACATTGGTGAACCAGGTGGCTTTTTCCAACAACGGTCATCATTAGATTCTTAATTCCAGATATTTCATTGAATTCAAATTCCACCATCTGCTGTGTCTCTGCAAAGATCCTTCTTCAAAGGAAAAAGGGATAAACCACCTTTGGAGACACTGAAAGGACAAATTCTCAAACTTTGTATCAAAGAATGAATAGTATTCAGCATGTCCTCAAGCTCATGTCCTCATCAAAGAGTGAAGGGAACAGAAGGAAAATGCTTCATCAATGTCTACAATCTGGACTGGTGCCAGAACTGTGTTTCATTGATTTGTACCTTGCCCATTCATAATATTTACATCTTACCTCTTTGAGTGTCGGTTTGTGCATACAGGATGTTTTAAAAAAGGGGTAGAGTTTAAGTTATAGAGAGTTACATTAGCAGTTTGTGTTTCTTTTCTGCTATCAGTTGAAAACAATCTGTTTGCAAAGAGCAGCTCTTTTCAGATCTCTGTTGAATTTGCTTCTGCAACTGAATATCACCTTTCTTCACCCAACAGCCCCACAGCATCTTTCCCTGCAACTGGCGAAGATGTAACATCTACCCATTCACCTCCTCCCTCTTCAGTATCCAATACCCCAAACATACCTTCCATGTGAAGGAGCACTTTACCTGCACTTCTCACAATCTAGCCTACTGCATTTGCTGCTCACAATGTGGTCTCCTTGACACTGGGGAAAGGAGGCGTAGACTGGGTGACCGCTTCGCAGAACATCTACGTTCTGCTCGCAAAAAAGACCCTGAGCTTCCAGTTGCCTGCCATTTTAACACAGCACCCTGCTCCCTGGCCACTATCTCTGTCTCTGGCTTGCTGCAGTGTTCCAGCGAAGCTCAGCGCAAGCTGGAAGAACAACACCTCATTTTCTGCTTGGGGACCCTGCAGCCCTCCGGACTCAATATCAAGTTTAATAATTTTAGTGCCTGAACGCTCCCAAGTCCTAGCCCCCTACCACACACACCAGGCCTTGTTATCACATTATCTGCCATTACACACTACCTATTGTTAGCCACTAACAGTCTCCATTAACAGCTACTCACTCTCCTAGTCAGATCGTTATCCACTCCTTTGTCCGTCCAACCGTTCTCTCGCTTTGGGCTCTATCCCCAACTATCATTTACTCCTTACCCCCATACCCCACCCTATTTTCTGCACATAAACCAACAATTTTCTAGCTACCATCAGTTCTGAGGAAGGGTCAACGGACCTGAAACGTTTACATTGATTTCTCTTCACAAATGCTGCCAGACCTGCTGAGCTTTTCCTGCAATTTCTGTTTTTATTTCTGATTTACAGCATCTGCAGTTCTTTCGACTTTTATCCCCTTTCTTCAGCTCCTTCAAGATCTGAAGTTGTTCTGTATGAAAGTCCATTTTATATATTCATTAGTGGCTTGTGCGTATGGCACTCCTTAGTATTAACACTTTCAGGTTCTTTCAGACCCAATACAATCAACTCCTTTCATGAAAGCATCCAATGTCCAATATTGATGCTGGGCCCTACGATATCCCACTGCCCCACTCGTATAGTCATTACTGCCAGTTTAACTGGACCACACCATACACAGCAATCGTTAGTTAAGATTTCACTTCAGTTCTTGATTTCTAAATGAATTTCAACATTATATTGCATGATGAAACAGTCATGGAAAAGAAATAAAATGTAATTCATACTAAATCTACTTGGAATATCAAATCATATTTCATTGCTTGTTTTTAAAAGAAAGCTGTTTTATATATATATATAATATAGCATCTCTGCTGACTGTAAAATAGACCAAACCATTAATAAATTCTGAAAGATTTTGTTAATACAGTGGTGCCTAATTCTATTACAGTCTTTAGCCACTATTTTCTCATATTTCTTAGTAAATCAAAAGCAGTAAAAACGGACAAAGATTGAATAAATCTCACAAAATGCAACAATCCTTTTGTAATTTTCATTTGTATGTGAAGCTCTGGTAGGGGGCTATGGGTATTAAATTGTTTCTAATCAGAGTTTTCTTGCAGATGCCTATATGTCTACTCTATCAATGTTACTCTGTGCTAGACTGTTTTGCTTCAGTTCAACAAAGTTGATCTTATTGGAGGAAGAGCTATGATAATGAGTGTTTAACTGTTGTGGAGTAATGTAAAAGTCATAGGAACCCTTGGTAGAATTTTCAGCAAACAGTGATGACATGTGCCGTGAATGTAATATTGTAACACCGCAATTCTCCAGAAAACTCGGTCCTTAATTCTACCTATTATCTTTCATTCTGGCCAATATTTAATATTTATATCCAAACATCTTTTGTCAGATTGCTTAACTGATGAAACTTTAGCCACGTGAATCTGGTCACTGATCATGAAAGAGGGCATTAAGAGCCTAGTTAAAGGTAAATGAGGGGTCTTGTGGTGTGGGGAGGCAGCATTGTAGACAGTGCAGATGATAGCATAAAAGTACAAAAGGATGTTGCCAGATTAAGTGACTGGGCAAATCTGTAGCAGATGGATTTCAATGTGAGAAAGTGTGAAGATATCCATTTTGAACTGTAAAAGGAAAGATCAGGGTATTTTCTTAACGGCGTGAAGTTAAATACAGTGAATGTCCTTGGGTGTTCAGGTGCATATATCTTTAAAATGCCATTAACAAGTATAGAAGATAATTAAGAAGGCTAATGGAATGCTGAGTTCTGAGGAAGGGTCACCGGACCTAAATCATTAACTCTGTTTTTTCCTTCACAGATGCTGCCAGACCTGCTGAGCTTCTCCAGCAACTTTGTTTTTGTTCCCGATTTACAACATCCGCAGTTCTTTTGATTTCTAATGGAATGCTGGCCTTTATTTCTAGCAGACTGGACTATAAGAACACTAAATTAAACTGTATCCGTACAAAA